TCAAGCTTCATAGTAGAGTTGTGGATATTGTGCTCCCCACCCATTGTGTTTAGCATACAAAGGTAATTGAGTTTTGTTTTTTCTATTTACACCTGGCCTACTGAATAGACATCAACTATTGTTGGCTACTCAGAAGCGTGCTACTTTAGTTGCAAATTGATTTAAATTGCGTTCTTAATTGGGTGAGTAAAAGAGTAGGAATGTCTTTTCAAGGGGCCAAATATTTTTCCACAGAAGTTCCGTGAGTACTTTAGGAGACATATTCAAAAACATGATGGTCCATATGAGCTTCCAGAGCCAGCAAACCCAGACAGTGAAAAAAAGGAGAGATTAATGGATGTACTAACACAAATTGTAAAGAACAAAAAGTATAGAACAAAGAAAAGAAGTTTGGTCACACAAAGTTTGGTCACACAAACTGTTGTAGCCACAAAAGGAGGCCTAATAGACATAGTTGTAGAATTACGGCAGCATAATTTGGAAACAAATAAAATGGAGGAAGCAATGGACAAAAGGGATTGTTTAAAAATTGCAGCTTTGAGAACAACTACAATTGTTGGGGAACTAGAAAAGGAGTTAAGAAAAATAGAACAGAGATGCATATAGTGCTAAGATCACTGAACTCCAAGACCTAGTCATGGAATATAAAATGAAAATTAAAGAAAACACGAATAAATGGGATAAGGAGATTCCTAGAGTATGCCCAGACTAGTCTTATTTTATATCTGAAGGTAAATAACCAGTGCTAGGAACAAAACACAAGGGAAATGTGCCAATTGTAAATTGTGTCCCACAAGCCCCTATAATAACTGAACATTTTAATGTAAGAGAAATGTCTACTAGCTTCTCTAGACAGACAAGGACTATGTCAATCACAGACAAAGATAATTTCCAGAAATGGTGGGGAAGTATGCCAACTGACAACTTTAACACCTTTACACATTGGTTTATGAGGGGAGCAAACGGAGCAAAAAAAGGAGGTCTTAACTTGGTACTAACTAGAGCTGACAATTGGTGGATCAAGCATCCTTCCTCAGAACAGGCCTTCTCTGTTTCGGCCATAAGAACATTCAAGGTTGACTCTGGTAGAGATATAGATGGTAAATGGAGAAGCCAGAGGTGGGATGTACCCCAGAACAAGAGGAATAATGAGAACTGGAGACCAAAACAGGACTTTGACAAAAGATGGATCGATCCACAGAGGAACCATAGGAATGTAATGGGAGATAATTGGAGGAATAGATGGGAGGGGCCTAAGGTAATCAATAATAATTGTAATAATAAAAATACCTGGGAGAGGCTAAAAAGGACAGATTAACTGGGAAAATCACAATTGGGGAGAAAAACGGAGAAACAGGAACAGTTATTGGGAGAAAAATTGGAGAAAGAACCATAGATGGGATGAGCATCAGACCAATAGACGGAATTGGGATAATTGGAGGAATAAAGAAGGGAATAGAGACTACTGGGACCTAAAGAAACAGACTGAAAGATTGGAGGCAGACGTGAAAGCGCTGAGGGAACAATTGAGAGAGGAGGAAAAGAATGATCAATTGGGGGGTCTCAGCAATCAATAACACTCATAATTTTGTGTTGCTCTCTACATCTGTATGTATGTTTGTTTTTTTCTCTCAGTCTTCCATTCTCCCATTTAGCTATACCTTTCTAATGATGAGATCTAGTGTTCCCACAGAGCAAGGCAAAGCTGTATTAGGATGATGTGTGTCAACAGAAGATCGTTGTGGATCCTTGTTACAGGATGGATAAGTATAAGCTGTATCACAGTAGGGATGGGAGACAGGCAGTACGGCCAGAAGATACTCCAAATAAGGGACAAGATTAGAGTCTATATTTTAATAATCCTTCTATTCCTCCAAGGTGTCCGGAACAACAGCGACAGTGTTTTAGGCAAAGCAGGGTGTCAGGAAAAACGGGACAATTTGCAGCTCTACTGGGAGGAGTCGGAACTGGATTGAGAGTATGGAATTCTGCAAATATCACATCCAGTCCTACAAACTTTGCCACTAGTACTCATGCTCATAATTACACTATACTTTTGTGTGGCAATGAAATAGATGAGGAAGAAACTTGAAAAGGGGGATTTTTTTTTTGTGTGTCTCATACATTCTTCAATAAAGTTTTACATTGCACACACACACACACACACACACACACACTCACCTAAATTCTATAAGTTCTGTTTTTTTGTGACACTTTGTATACCATGTGAATTGACAGCCATAGGAAAGTACAGGAGAACTTATGTCGCTGAGGGAACTATGCAGGTTTTTGCTCCCACTAGGTTCTCTTGTACTAGAGGGATAACTAGATAATGGAGCAACATAGAAGAAGAAAAAAGTGGGGGAATGTGGGGTGATGCAACCCCTATTTGACTTTTCTTTCACCTTGCTTATATCACTCACTATAATTCCTGTGCTCCCCTTTCCTACTTCAGATCTCATAGTTTAGATAGATAAGAGGGATATATTATTTTTAAATGTGCTCAACATAAGAGAAGAAAAAGTGAGGGAATGTGGTGACATTCTGTCATCAAACTAATATGGTGACCAGGGATCATGTGACCAAGTTCATGTATGCCTTTCTTACAGTGGGATAAGCTTTACCTTTTGATATTGTAATTGAGTAATTCAATACCTTTACAAGTCAGGAAAGAGGTAACCACTTCCCCCTATCTCCATTCCTCCCTGTTCCTTCTTGGCTGTGCTACTGAGCAGTCCCTTAAGCAGACATGGCCTAATTTCTATCATGGTGAACTGTGAGTGGGATTTTATAAGATGTTATTGTTAGGTTGTTGTTGCTGTTGGTGGTATAGTTAGTTTGATTATGTGTCATTACTTGTATGTTGTTGTTTTGTCTCTGGTCTGTCTACTTTAACAAATATTTATTCAGAGTTTATATGTGTATGCGTACATAATTTATAGAGTTTGTTTATTTACCACACCTGGAAGATTGATTGCAGACAGTTTGATAGGTTTGAGAGATGTATTATGGTTGTGTAAGGAAAGAAAACAAGAGGTGGCAATATTGACAATAGATTTTGAGAAAGCTTATGATAGAGTTGCGCATGAATTTATGTTTAATGTTTTAGAGAGGATGGGTATACCGGCAAAAATGTTAAATTGGATAAGATGCATGTATGTAAATATGGAAAGTGTGGTGCAAGTGAATGGATGGTTGACTGAAAGGTTTCAGGTGCAATCGGGTGTAAGACAGGGACGTCCCCTGTCGCCTATTTTATTTATTTGTGTGATTGAACCATTATTGAGAAGCATTAAGAATGATAAGATGGTGAGAGGTATTGAAATTCCTGGAAGTAATGCAAGATGTTTGAAAGTTATTGGGTATATGGATGACGTAACTATTGTATGTAAAACTCAGGCGGGATTGAGTAGAGTGAAATTGTTGGTTGAATTTTTTAGCTTGGCAAGTGGTTTTAAAATTAACTGGAGTAAATGTGCATGCAAAGCATTTGGAGATTGGAAAGAAATGGAGTTGTGTGGATGGCCGATTTATAGAAAATGGGATTGAGGTTTTGGGAGTGAAATTTGACAAAGATTTAAAAGGAAAGTTGGTGTAAAGTTGTGACTCGAGTAAATCAAAAGATCGGATTGTGGAGTGATCAAGTGTTATCATTTGAAGGTCAAGTTTTAATAATAAAGCAGTTTTACTTCCCATAATATTATATTTGAATTTTATTTTTCCTTTGAGTGACAGATGTTTATGAAAATTAAGTAGAATTTTATTTTTGTTCTTTTGGGGTAGTAGAATGGAGAGATTGAGTTATGAAAAAGTAATGAAAAGAAGAGAAAATGGAGGAATGAATGTACCAGATTTGGAGAGGTTTTTATTAGTACATTATGTAGGATTATGTGTGAGTTTAAGTAAAAAGGAAAGTATGGTAGCGTGTAGTTGGTATGGGATTAAGAAGGTATGGCTTGTATGTGATCGATAAGACAAAACCTATGTTTTAATGAACCATGGTTTTATAAGAAAATTGATGGATGTGTTAAAAAATGACATGCAAAATGTTACAAGCGATGAAAGGTGTGAAAGGCGTAGTTTTTAAAATATTAAATGATCAAGAGGTGGTGACTGGGATTGATGGGTTAAGTGAGGCACAAAGTAAAGAAGTTTGGAAGATAATGGATGGAATTGAGATTGTTAATAGACAGAGATGTAGCTTGGATGGCAGTGAATAATTGTCTGTCAACTAGAGAAGTGCAGTATGGTAGGTGATTAGTGAGGTCAGAAATGTGTCCAAGGGAAGGATGTGGGGGGAGAGAGAATGTGGTGCATGTATTGTGGAATTGTGAGTTTGGAGGGAATGTAATAAAAAATTGGTGGTAGGATTGACTGGGATTTCTGTTTTTTCTTATGAAGTTTTATTGTTTGGTTTGTGTAAGCTTGATAAAGAAAAGGAGAGAATGTTGTGGATATTGATGGCGTGTAAAAAGGAAACTTTATGGGATGCAAGAAATTTATTTGTTTTTAAAAATGAAAGGTTGTCAATAGATGCATGTGTTAGGATGGTTAAAGGGAAAGTGTATTTGTATTACTTGAGAGATGTGAGGAGGAAGAATAAAATGGATGCAGAGGGAGTATGAAAAACAAAGAAGTGGAAGAAATGGTGTGCGTAGAGATGATGCTTTGGTGATTGGTAATTGGTAAGGTTAAAGGGTAAGATTTGGAATTAAAAAAATAAGTACAGGGAATATTGTTGTAGTATTTTGTTCATTTAGTAATTTGTATTCTTGAATTTTTCTTTACGGAAGGGAGTATGGATGAAGGTTGGTTGGTATTGAGTGCATTGTATAGATTGTACTTAGAATAGAAAAATAGGGGTTAAGTATCAATGGATGGTTGGAAGAGCTAGGAATGATTGTTTATAGTATAACGTTTTTGTGGTGGGGGTTTGATGTGTTTTTGCTGTGCTGTGATTAAATTTTACTGAAAAAGACCATGAGGATGTTACCTGAGAGATTTCTTGAACGTCATCTGGAGGAAATGCTCTGTGACTGAGTGGTAATAAAAACAGATTTTTATTATTTATTTTTATCACTTTAATATCTGATACATCCCCTATCTGGGGACCATATATTAAATGGATTTTTGGGACAGGGAGATGGAAGAAGAGCTTGCTCTGTCCACTCCACGCATTGACCTGGTATTTCAGTACCTCCAGGACCGGTGCACCTCTCTTATGCTAGTTAAAAAATAGATTGAAAAAGAAAAGCAAGCCACTGGACTCTCACTTGGTGGGTGGCAAAGAAATGCAGGAAACCTGCAAACGAAGGCAAACTTGTTCTTTCCTGTTTTCTCTGTCGCGGCGTGCCGGAATGAAGCCCGGACGGACCAACCAAAAACACTCCTTGCAATTATGGACACTTGTAGCAATGTTTGTTAACTGATATTTCATTTGGATAGCTTGTCCGATTGTTATCTATCATGTGCTGTGTGTGCACGATTCAATTCTGTTCACCTGATCCAATGTATTCATTGTTGTCATGTAAATCTGTGTACTCACTTAATTGAATAAATGTGTCCAGTACATCCAATGTGAAGCCAGAGTATTTCTATCCAGGTGGACTCGGCTGGCTGGCTTATCAGTGTTGAAAAGTGGGCGGTATTATGTAAATCTGCTGCAGCCTGCAGCATGCTGGTCTTTGAAATTACAGCACTAATGTTTTGGAGTGAAATTCGAGCAACATCTATGTAACCAATTAAGGGTTTAATTAATTGAATCACTGAGTGATTGAGCAAGCAGCAGGTGCTTAATTGCTTGCTCTATCTACCCTACTTGCATCTGAAGAGGAACAAACCAGGTGATCCAGCAGCCTCGTTAGGCAAATCATCATCAGTGGTAGCAGCTGGAGAGAGAGGTGCAAGGTATGTCTGGAGGGGAGCATATCGAGGAATGGACAAGGTTAAGAAGGGACTCTGTTTTAAGGGCTTAGAGGTTGTGTGCTCTGTGACTGACTGTGTCTCTGTTGCTATTTGTAGCCAGCTTACACCTAGATGAGGAAGAGGTGGTACTGTGCCCAAGGCTCACCGCAAGCTGAAGAAGCCCAGGCGAGTGGCAGGTGAGTAGCTGGGCGCCCATTCCGGCTATCGCTTCTCTGCCTTTTCGCTAAGATCAAGTGTAAAAGCTGGTCTAGTCAGGAGGTCCTGGTGTTGGCAACGCAAGCTCCTTGGCTTCCAGCTGCGTCTTCCTTGTGGAGGCATGGCTAGGATGCTGCTATTGGGGGGCGACCTGCACTTTCACTGGGAACGAGAAGGGATTTAAAGATGGAGAGAGGTGCTTCCTCGTTTCCCAAATCCATGCGCATTTTGGTGTCTGAGGAAAGGAAATGTGAAGTCGGTTTGCAGGTTATCCAGAGAGATTTACTTGAAGGTTTAATGACTATTCTGAGAGCGTGGCTGTTCTGTGTTCAGGATTTTCCTGCTAGAGGTGTGTTCGACGTGACTTTCATGGAGCAAGATCAAGTGACAACTATGACGGAGAGAAAGCTACAGGTGGATGGTGATTTATTACTTCAGGGGATCACAAATGTATAACCCCTTTGTGACTGACAAGGAAATTATGGTGTTTTTGCAGAGATACTGTTCGGTAGTGGCTAAACCTATAAAACTTGTAAATATGTTTGGGGTGTATAATGATAAGAGGAAGGTTTTTGTCACTTTGCAACCTGATCCATCGGAGGTGAGTGGGTTAAAGCACCCTCCTCTAAATCTTTCTATCAGTGGTAATAGGGGCTACTTATATTCCCCAGGTCAGCCAAAATGCTGCAGAAACTTATCAGTTTGGGCATACTAGTCCTTAGTGTGAGAAGGGTATTTGCTGCAGAAATTGTTATGGAGAGGGTCATACGGCGGCAAAATGCTCTGAGAGAAAAACGTGATCTTTGTGGCTCAAAAAAATCATATGGCTAGGTATTGCCTGACCGGTTCCAGGATCCTTCCCATAGTGAGGCTGAAAAGGGAGTGGATTTGGTTGAGACCGTCCATAAAAGTGAGAGCAAGAGTGGCGTGATGAAACCAAGAATTCAGTTTATTCGTATGGTACGCAATTGAGCTCAAAAGAAGAGACCGAACAGCGTCATGCAAAGTTGATGGCTGAAGATAAATTGAGAAAGCAGATCGGTAAGGTTACTCCGGAAGTAATTGTGGCTGTTCAATCAATGGAATGTGGAGATGAGGTAGTGGTTGCTGATCCCTCACTTCCGGTGGTTTCAGGAGAAGAAGAAATGGCAAGTGTGCTTCCACTGAGTGGGTAAGTTGGTTTTCTCCAGTGAGTTTCCGAAACCTTTGATGGAATCTTCCCTTGAGATTGGAGACAAGTCAGATTCTGAAGCTTCTGGTTCAACGTCACCTGGTTTTGACTCTTGGACCATCTCTAGACGGTGTCAAGTTTCTGCCTTTACGCAGGAAAGTGGAAGGTTGGAATAATTAGATAGAAATACATGAGGTGATGAGGAGTTTTTTTTCCTCTGATTTATGTTTTGTATCTATTCTTTAAATGTGTTTAGCATAAAAGCTGCCACAAGGAGAGCATTTATCTTTGATTTTTTGAGTAAATTTGCTTTGGCTGTAATATGCTTGCAGGAATGCAATTTGTCTGAAAGTCCTATATCAACCAAATGGGGATATGGTCCTGCTGTTTATTCATGTGGTGATGGGAATAATATAGGGGTGGCAGTTTTATTTAAGGGTTGGGAATTTGAAGTGTTAAAATATTTTGAAGTAGTGACTGGTAGGATTTTGGTAGTGTATTTTGTGTTTAGAGGTATTGTATGCAGGGTTATAAATGTATATGCACCAACGGAGAAGAAAGAAAGAGTGCATGTATTTGAATGTTTGGGGTTTGTGTTACCAGTGAGGGAGGTTACTTTTTTGGTGGGGTTTTTAATTGTATTATAAGGAGGGGGGATAGAATTGGGATTAGGGATGATAATAAATTACATAAATCAGGGTATATGTTAAATAATTTAGTTAGGGATTTTGGTTTTGTGGATTCAGTGGGAGTTATGGGTGATGAGGATGTATATACCTTTAGTGAAAATGGTTCAGTTAAGTCACAGATTGATTTTTGTTTTCTTTCACAGCGTGTATATGCAGAATCTCTACGCACATCAAGAGTCGCTTTTTCCGATCATGTAGTGTTAAAATGCAAGGTGAGAATGGATGTGAAATTGGAATTTGGGAGAGGATTTTGGAAGAGG